CCCTTAATTGACGGAGGAGACGCACATTAAGAGGACATTTCTCTTCCTATGCGTCTCCTCCACTGTTAAATCTACTTTACCACCAAATCCTTTCCTTTTAAGTAAAGGATGGAACGGGAAAGGGACCAAAATTGGGGTTCTGGCACCACAATCATCAGACTTTACGTGGAATTGCTTTCACTTGACGCCTGCTTTCTGTGTAGTCCAACTAATATTATAAATGCGAAAGTTTAGATGGATGGATGTATGTTTGTTAAAGTTTGTAGTCTAAACTGCAAACGAATTTTGATGGTATTTGGTATAGATGTAGAGGATAATCTGGAAGAACACATAGGCTATTCAATTTTGTTTTTATTAATTCCACGCGGACGGAGTCGCGGGCAAAAGTTAAAAAAAAGCTAGTTGAAGAATATTTATTTAAATCTATTCATCCCATTATAATAAGTGTGAGTATTCTAACCTGTGTGGTCTTCCCGCAGCCAGTGTTCCCCCTGATGATGGTGACGGGGTTCTCATTGATGGCTTCCATTATTATATTCTTCATACCAAATACTGGTAACTGTTCCCTCTCCTTGAGACTCTCCTGGAATAAATATATATTTTATAATATAATATAACATTATAAAGAGGAGAGATTTGTATTTTTGTATTTTTGTATGTATTGAATTAAACTACTAACGCAAAAATGACTCAGCCGATTTAAAAAAATACTTTCACCATTAAAAAGCTACGTTATCACTGAGTAACATAGCCTATATTTTATTTATTTCACACAGACAAAGTCGCGAGCAACAGCTAGTGTGTAAAATGGTTTAATACTTAAATATTAAGTTAGGATTCCACTGCAAAGTGTAGGATTTAACTTTCAATGTGTCTTTTTATCTCGAATATATTACCTTTTTTGAAAGGTATAAACCTTTTAGTTCAAGTTTTTTAAATAGTCATACCAATAATAAAAAATAATATGGTAAGCCTATATAAAATCTTACTACACACTTAATGTCTGTATAAAATACTAGCTTTTGCCCGCGACTCCGTTTGTTAAATTTAAAAATAATATCAAAGAAATGAAAATATAGCCTATGTTATTCGCAGATAAATTACCTTTCTAATGGTGAAAGAATTTTAAAATCGGCCCAGTAGTTTTTAAGCCTATTCATTACAATCAAACAAAGTTTTACTCTTAATTATACGAATATAGATAAACCAAATTTTAATTCAAATGTTTGTTTGTCTATCTGCAAGTACAAACACGTTGTTTTCGATAGAACAACTAACCCTATCCCAGAAGTTAAAGCAAGAAATAGGCTACTTTTTTTTTTAATTCTGCACTCAAAAAAAAAACATTTAAAAAGGTAGTTTACCTGATAAAGCTGACTGTTTTGACAGACATATCTATGATGCTTCTCCAAATCACGGCTGATGCTATCCAAATTGGACGTCGCTAGGGGACCCTCGTCTGAAAAAAAACAAATTCCAAACATTATAAAGAAAGGAATATGACAAATTACGTACAGTAAACAATATTAATTCCAGCTTTCAATACAAACATACAGATTCACAAATTACTTTTGGAAGTCCGTTAAAACCTAATGGGTGACATTTTAAAATAATAATAAACTAATTTCAAACAATATTTATAATTTACTTTTAAAGAAATGTAACAAAATTAAACTTGATTTTAAAAAGGACTAGAAAGATTTTGTGACAATAAATTTCTAATATTAAGTACTAGCTGTTGCTCGCGACTTCGTCCGTGACATTAAAAATAATTAACAAATATAGCCTATGTTACTCAATGATATCGTAGCTTCTTAATGGTTAAAGAATTTTAAATCAGCCTAGTACTTTTTTAAGTTATTTTAATACATACTAGCTTTTGCTCGCGACTTCGCCTGCGTGGTTAAAATAAATAGTAATAACATAGCCTATATTACTCAGTGATAGAATAGATTTTTTTTAAATCTGTCCTGTAGTTTATGAGTTATTTCAATACATTAAAAAATACAAATCTTTCCTTTTTATAATCTATACTATTATAATAAAGCGTAAACACACACTTCTTTGTTGCCTAAGATGTCAGCAATTACAGCATATTTTTAAATAATATTTTTTTAATTAAAAACCCGTACACTTACGTCATGCTTTAGGCTATATATTTTCACGCCATTTAACTTAGGGGGTAAATAATTTGAATGAAAAGCTTAATGTGCGAAAGAGACCATAAGTTGCTGCCAACATCAAGGAATCAAGATTTTCAAGGTTTATCATGTCGTGTAATTTTGACATTTGCTATTGATAATTTGACAAATGTAAACAATAAAATAAAATTTTCATCATTTCATGCGGAAGAAGCCGCACGGGAACACCTACTATTAGTATAAATATGAATTTAAAAATACAAATGTTTCCTTATTATAATATTAGTATAGATTTAGACATTTTTCATATATAAAAGTTGTAGATTTTCAAAGAAACTCACCAATATTACAAGCAGTCCATGCATTCCAGTTCTGTTGCGGGGGAGACCAGGACACAACCCCACCGGGCATGGGGCGCGCCTCCCGCATCGCGCGCGCCCGGTCCAGCTGCAGCAGTGTCACACCACCCTTATCCCCCTCTTCTGTACCCTCATTGGTAGCTGTTTCTACATCCACTGGCTCTATACCTAAATCTACAAATACACATACAATACAGTAGAGACTCGATAACTCAAACCTCGGTAACATAAAAACCTCTATAACTTCAAAAAATAATGTTCCCTTCCCATCAGAGCTCAAAACCTCTACAATATAGACCCTTGTTTAACTTGCTACCGACAGCGCGGCAGCCAAAAATACAAAACACTTATTATAAAACAAACATATCTTTATTTAAAACTTATTTACACAAATTTATAAAAACTTAAAACTCCAAACTATATCGATCACATTCTTGACTTCTTCTATCTATATTCTTTTATAAACGATTATTGCCTTGGTGGCCAGTATGCAACCTCTTTGGCTGTATACATACTGCTTGTCAGCCAAAGAGGTTGTATTTTGCACTCACCACCCTCGATAACTTAAAACCTCTATAAATTAAAATATTTTGTATTTCCTTGGACTTTAACTTATCGAGGTTCTACTTTATTATAAATACGAAAGTTTAGATGTATGTTTGTTAATTGTAGCCTAAACTGCTGAACAGATTTTGATGAAATTTGGTATAGATGTAGAAAATAGTCTGGAAGAACATAAAGGGGCATTTTTTTAATTCCACGAGGAAGTAGTCGCGGGCGAAAGCTAGTATTAAATAAATGTTGGCGTTATATACCAACTGTTTGTACTTCGCGTGAAATTAAAAAAATATAGCCTATGTTAATAAGTGATAACATAGCTTTTTAATTGTATAAGAGTTTTTGAAATCAGGCCAGTAGTTTTTGACTCATTTCAATACATACAAAAATACAAATCATTCCTCTTTATAATAAAGCCTTTGACTTCTGGGTTCAAATCCTGGGTTCCAATCGCGTGTACAATTGGGAAAACTGTCGGTGATCCACCTTAAAAGATATCGTTTGAACTTTTGAAAACGAGGGGAAACCAAAATCAATACAACGCAGTTGTCTATACGAAATACAGTTAATTTGTGATACACGGCTTTTTTTATTATTATTATTTGCAATCACTGCTAACTAGTTATTTATTGAAAGAAGTGGAGAGTCTTGTTGCAATGAACAAGGCAATTCTTCCTGAAGTGTAACAGCTGATTTCCGCGACTATACAATGTAACATTTAAAAGCCTTGTATCTTACAACTAAAACCCCTCTACTTACAAATAATCGATTACACAGCAGTTGCGCCAGGAAAAATAAAATGACGTGTACAATTAACAAACTTTTTAGTACAGACACATATAGTATTAGTACCATGCGTACAATGCATACAAAACGTTCAAACGATTGTAATTTTCAAAATGGTACACCGACAAATTCCTTAACTGTACTAACGTTTTTCGATTCTTTACAAGTTCCATATCACAGTATTTGCTTTACCTTGCAATGTCTCTTCAATTTCTTGCTCTAATTCAGGACTTATAGCCACTGCGTAAGGCTTCATTATACCTTCACTAGATCTGAAATAGTACATAGATATTATAAATTTCAAAGTTTACATGAATGAATGGATGTTTGTTAGAGTTTGTAGCCTATACTGCTGAACGGATTTCGATGAAATTTGGCATAGATGTAGAGGATAGTCTGGAAGAACACATAGGCTATTTACTTTTGTTTTTTGCAATTCCCCGGCGACGGAGTCGCAATCGCACAACAGTTGTGCGATAGTTTAGTCATAGTTGTGCGCCTGTCCCTCATCTGTACATATTCTTCAACTAGCTATTCCCATGCGGCTTCATCCGGAGGTAATTATAAAAACTTTATTTTATTGTTTACATGTGTCAAATTATCAATTGCAAATGTCAAAATGACATGATGATAAATCATGGCAACCTTGCTTCCTTGATGTTGGCAGCAACTTATGGTCTCTTTCCCACATTAGGGTTTTTATCCAAAATATTTAACCCCTAAGTTTAATGGCGTGAAAGTATATAGCCTAAAGCGTGACGTAAGTGTAGGCCTTTTTATTAAAAAACAATTATTCAAAAATATGCTGTAATTGCTGACATCTTAGGCAACAAAGAAGTGTGTGTTTATGCTTTATTATAATATTCTTCAATATGACTTACCTGTCTTTCTTCAGCGTGCCACTGAACGGCTCAATAACACCGAGGTGATACAACTGTCGTACTATAGACAGGGCGCATGATTTGCTCGCTGTCTGTTTGTTAGATGCAGTCTCACGACCAGTCACATTACGACCCAAGTCTCGCACGTATATCGTCATCTCACAACAAAAACTCCTGCAATATTACTGTAATATTACCGCACAACACAAAAGATCCTGCAATATTACTGCACAACATAACAGAACGTGCTGTAATATTACTGTACAACACAACAGAAGGTCCTGTATTATAATTGTACAACACAATAGAATCTCATGTAATATTACCGCTGAACAATAGTAGTTGAAAAATTATCTTTGCAAATACATAGTTTTTTAGAAATTTTAAAAAGGAATTTCAGCAGTAGAAGCGTATTTTCCATTAATTACATAACATAGCAACATGAAAAGCTAATTATATAAGAAAGTAATATTAGTTGTATGAAATTGAAACATGACCAATGTTTATATTGTTAGTAAAATAGTTTCATGCCCAACAAGCACCCCGAAAATTAACTTAGAAATAAGTTTTTTAGCTAACTTAATAGCAAGCAAGACTATACTTACTCAAGTTGTGTGGTGCAAAGAATTTACCGGATTTGTGGCCAATCGCGTCAATTTAGAGAGATCTTATTAAAAACTGCATCTAAAACAAAATCAAAATATATATTTGATTTTGTTTTATAATCCATATTACATTTAACATATTTAAATACATTTTGATCTCTCTAAACTGATTAATCAACATTCAGAAGCTTAATTTGCTGATTTTGCAAAATATGCTTCTACAGCCTTACAAATAAACGCGGTATAAAGTTATGAAATAAACTGAGTATAAGCAAAACATAAGTACAAATTTTGCATATACACAGTTTATTCCTAAATTTAACTTTAGACTGCAGTTACTTGTAAGGCTGGTAATGTTTAACCAACACTTTTGTCAAAATAAACATTTACAAGATGTTGCTTGCATCTTCGTTCACGCAGAAATAGTAATTAAAAAAACATTAAATAGTCATGTTACTCAGTGATAATATAGCTATTAATTGGTGAAAGAACTTGATTTGAAATCGGCCCAGTTTTTGACTTATTTCAATCCATACAAAAATACAAATCTTTCCTGTTTAAAACATTATAGATAATGCTAATAACATACAATTTGTATGTTACCAGGGCCAGTCCTATAGGTGTTGCCAGTGTAGGGGGACAAGTGAAAGCATCCCCCTCAAGAGGCAAAAATTTTAAAATAAGTATATAGAATAAAGAAAAAGGAACACCTGATCCCAAGTTGCTGACCCAAAAAATGTTAGGGGGAATGAGAAGAGGGCCACAGCGCTGCCCATTAAAAGACACCAAGGGTAGAGGGGAGATATTCACTCTATAAACCATAGCTGGCAATGCATTTACTATGCAAATTTTAAAATTATTCTCAGCACTTATTGACCACAAATCCAGTATTTCTATGACAATTTTCAGCCATTGATTTTTCAATAATTATGAATAACCAGTGGCTTTCTAAGGCAAGAAAATCGGTGACAAGCTAAGACACTTTTTCCAGTAAGCAACTAGCCGCACAACCATGCCATACGCCAATGCTATTTGTATAATAAAAATAGCAATCTCGTGTAGCGTGATTCGCGCGACTTGTCGTGCTAGTGGAAAAAGGGTCTAAATATTGACATTAAGTACAAATACACAATAAGCTACTCACCAATTAGTTACCATAATTACTTTGTATATTTGTTAGCAACTGAGGCAGTTTTTTAAATGAATTTTATGAATTTAATTTTTTTTTATAAAAATATAAGTAGTTTTTTATTAATTTACTAATATTTCCTATAACCATTTCAACTAAGCTCTCGGCTTGTGCTAGGATGTGGTTCACGACAATAGTCGAAAGGCGGGATTCGAACTCTCGACCACAAGATCGGTATACCATACCCCTAACCATTAGGCTATTGGCGCGTTCCTTCCCATTGGTTTAAAAAACTTTTTAAAATTTTTTTTTTTAATATCAGCATTGTAAGTTAATCAAAAGAGGCTATATCATGGTTTGCAAGTTACCTATTATTAATTTATTCTTGAGATAACCATAAATCAAGAATATCAAATTCCAATCATCATCTTGGTCTTATCACCCTCATATAGGGTCGTCACAAGGTTTTATAAGCTTTTGAGCTTCCATCAACCACTTGTAGCCAACCCTACTTAGTATCTAACAATCCGTTATATTCAGATTATCTCATATTCAATATCCTAAACGAGTAAATATGACTGAAATATATTAAATAATCCACAAACCTAGTATGATCAGGTCCTACAGCTTTATATATATAATCTGCATTAACTTTATTCATCTGCATAAACTGATGTAGTTTCGATTTAGCATTCTCCATGGTCCAGTTGCCATGGAGACTCGCATTAACATCCAAATCCTCAGCTTCCTCTACATTCTTCTGTTGTTGAAGACGGTCCATATATGTGAATGTATGACTTTGTCCACCAATCGCATGATACGCTGGACCCATGCTTTGTGGATCCATTCCTTCCTGAAAAAATATTTGTTAATTTAGTAATATTTTTTGTAACATTCCTACTAAGCTAGAAGCTTGTTTATGGATATTTACATTTGAATTGCAAGATTTAAACTATCAATCTTATGATTTTTAATCTATACCCTTAACCATTAGGTTATTGGTACTAAGGGTGGAGTAGTTACCTTTAATAAACAATACTTAACTTTATAACCATGTTAAAAAATCACTTTCATGTTTATTACCTGGAAAACAGGCCTCTGGGTCTGTGACTGATCTGGTTCGATGTTACCGACAATGCCACTGTTCCCAGTAGCTTCCGAGGTTTCATTTTTAACACTAACATCTTCAGGTACCTCTGTCGCATTGACCTCTCCGGATCTTACTAAGTAATTGATGAAATCTCTAGAAGCATTCTTCTGAGCTTCTTTTTTAGTGACGGAATTCCCTGCACCGACGTAAGTGTAGCCATCTACGCGAACCTCGCACAAAAACCGCTGACGATGTTTCGGTCCTAAACATTTAAAGCAATATGTTGACTACGTTTTTAGCTAATTTATGATACTGCAAATTAGAACCTATTTAGAATCTAGACTAATTGACCTTCAAAGTTCACGTGGATGACAAAAATCGATATTATTTACTTGAGACTTTTTATGTATTTCATTTAGCTTTTATATGTAAACTTGAATAACAGTATATACTAGACACACTTTTAATTACATATTTACAATCAAATAATACTCACCGGTAGCACGAATATCGAATGCTGGCGTTAGGCTTCTTTTCGCACACCAAGAAAAAAGAAAAGACTTAACATCCATTTTTGGAATTCAGCTCACCACAGTACTACCAAATATTATAGTGCTAAAAACTATGACTAGGTTATAAACTATAATGGAAAAATACAGAACCGGTTTGTTTAAAAAAAATTAAAATATTAGCATATTTTACTTAATACTTTACATAGACAACAAAGAGTACAAGAGTAAAATAGACAATGACAAATATTGCTAGTTTATAGAAAGTTGCTTTAAGAAATTGGGCATTTCCTCATTTTCTAAATGACTCTTGAGTTTAAAAACTCTCATTATTAACAAAACTAAAACTATAATTCTTGACCCTAGACCCAGACTATGTATTGAACTTAGTTTTTGTTCACTTGGTTCAATTTGGCTTAAATAACTTGTAAATAGGACATAAAGTATTAAAAAAAAAACATTCACTTGACAATCGACAACTTGACAGTGACATATTTTGGTTACAAAATACTAATTCGTAACCCTATTTAATTTCACGGTTACGAATTCTTTATAGGGTATTTCTATTTTCAATATTAAAACTAAACAAATACAGTGTAAATTACCATCAAAATGAATATTGTTAAGGTTTGTTACATTATTTATAACCTTACTATTTTTGGACACCAACTATGTTTCAAGAACCATTTGTTTTGCTTTCACAGAATCTTTGGAGAACCGCACCAGCCATACGAAGCAGTTTTCTCATCAATCACAACATTCAGAATGCTATTCGTCCGCTTTCCAGTACAATAACACCTATAACAAACATCGCAGTAAATGCTCCTCCAGTGGAACTAGACAAATTATATAAAAGAGTGGAACTGGAAATGAAAGGTATTGACCCAGCCGTATTGCTGAGTTATTCATGGTTTTGTATCGCGGCTGCATCTCATTTAGGCATTGAAGTGACTAAGAAGTAAGTATTTCACTTAATACATAGCATTTCAGCTTTGGTTTAATGTAATTATAATTGTTTGTTTCATAATAAAACTTTTGTTATATGTATGAACATAAACTTGATTGCTAGAATTCTAAAATTTCTTAGTAATACAAAGAATCAAGATCTAAAGATAAGTTTTCAACAGATAAACCCAAAAACAATTCCTTACATGAAATATTCAAATCAAATATACAACAAAGCAAAGTTAATACTGTCCACTTTTTAGAAAAACCTAAAAAAACCCTTATTTTTCAGTTGGGCGCTGAGGAAAGCTGAAAAAGAAAGACATACCCTATTAAGATGTGTTCACATTTATAAAAAGCACAAAGTACAATACGAGATCAGAACTTACTTCAGATTTATCCATTTACAACGACTTACTGGTTCCACATGCGACACTTACTTAGAATACATAGAGAGAAACCTACCGGAAGGCTGTGCTCTTAAAGTCACAAAGGTTGAATGTCAAAAACTCCCAGATCATATTGTACCACCAACTGAATAATTGATCTGCTGGAAATGCTTTAAAGTGTTAAGTTTTGTGTTTTAGTATAGATTTTTCTAGAAATAAATGTGTATTAAATTCATTTGTATTAATCCTTTTGGCTCCTGAACTATTCAACAAGGGTGGATCCAGTTTTGGCGCCAGGAGGGGGGGGAGGTCACATAATTAGTTGGTTGGTTGAGCTCTTGACAAAATATATTTACATATTTTGTCAAGCCCTCAACCAACCAGCTCAGGGGCGAGTCATGACCCCTTCCTGGATGTTGTTGCTAGTCAAGAACCAAGACTACTGTTAAATATATGACAACATGAATCACTATTGATTGCCGATGCTGATTTTTTCATTATATTTAACTTAAATATCAATATTTAAAAAGGAAAATAAACTACAATTTAATAGTCAAGGTAATATATTACGAATTATGCATGTAATTACTGCATTTAACATAACAACATTCAGAGTTTCATGTTTGTATACATTGCCAATGGAATTGATTATGAACAAGACAGTATTACCCAAAAATCTTGCATTTTAAAGTTCCACTTAGAGATGAAAACAAAACTCCACCTCTTGCAAAAAAACAATTAGCAGTGATTTGTATATATGAAGGGATAATAATATAAATCAGTTATACCATTGACCAACCTTTATTCATAGACATATTTATTAGCAGCATCCAGTTTTTGTTCTGCACCATTTCAGTACATACACAATATTCATGTGACTAGCTTCTAAAGTAGAACACAGTTAGTATATCTGATCCTAACTGTCAGGTTTAGGGCCCTGATTTTTCCATAGTGCAACCCCGAGAAGTGGCTGAAAGCTATGGTAGGAGAGCAACTATTAATTGCAAAACGTCATTAGGGGCGGCGGTAGTGTTGCATTTGGAGATCCCGCGGGTCATTATGGCAGTTGGAGGCCACCGTGGGGTTTTAGTCGGCGTAAATCCGATATAACCACCCTTGTTCCTGCAAGGGTGGTATGCGTTAGGCATTTCCCCAGGTTAAAAAAAAAAAAAAGGATATCTGATCCTAACTGTACAAATATTTAATATATTAATCACAGTAATAAGCATAACAGATTCATTAATAATTGAGATTTAGGCTTAATATCTCAACAAATAAATTTTAAATACAATTATCAAGTATATTAGAGGTATAAAAAATTGGTAGCTATATAAACATTCATTAACCATAGTTAGAGCCAAAAATACACTTATATTTATAACATTCTTAGAAAGTACAATAATTACAAGCTAATAAGTAATAAAAGTGGAATGTAAGAAGTAGAATGTGCAGATCAGTCAATATATTTGGCATTTAATATATTTTTGGCTTACTGGCCGGTTTATAACACTATTTAGATGAGTAAATACAAGAATCAGTTCAAAATTCCAGATCAAATAGTTTTAAGTACTGAGTAGTGACTCAATTAAACAGCTAACAGTTATTTACTGTAATAATGTGAGGTTGCTAGCCTCAAGCTGCTTAGAGATTAATCTCGACATGTTAACCGTGAGCTGTTCAGCATATTATTAACTTTAGCAGTTACCCGTAACTACTATTCATATTGATGACTTTTACATACAGTTAAGACAAATAGAATTGCAAATACAAGTTCCAATGCATGAAACATGAGCATCACAGCACACCATATGTACTCCAGCCTGAGTATATAAGTCTGGTATATAAGGAAATAACATACACCAACCGCAGATGGTATTGTAAGCACTACGGAGAAGAATACTGGAACTTCTGTAAAAGAGTAAAATAAAAAATTGTAGGAACCTACTTATATTTTTTATGGTACCAAAGAGAATTTAACACAGATTTAAATAATTGTAAATTAAATGATTTCAAAATTTTGTTCTGTTCAAATCAATACTATAAAGATCCTATGGAGTCAAAACATTTTATTATAACTGTTGCTCGGGACTTCGTCCCCTTGAAATTAAAAAATAATAAAAGACAGCGTATGTTACTCACAGATAAATTACTTTTCTAACGAAGAAACAATTTTTAAAGTCGGTCTCATAGTTTTTGAGTAATTTTAATACATATAAAAAAAATCTTTCCTCTTTATAATATTAGTATAGATTTATGTATTACATACCTTAAGTTTAGAGAAATTGTATACTTACTTTTACTAGCCAAGTTTCCTCTCCGGCCCAAAAATATACGAATTACTTCGACTAAACAAAGGGCACAAAATATTCCGGCTTCGGTGAAAAGAGCGTTTTCTGGGTAAGACACATTAATAGCTTTTAATATACCCATGGCTACTTCACAAACGAAAAACATTCCTAGATAAAATGAATTTAAATATAGTAGTATTTCGTAAGCCAAGCTAGAGTTTACATTAGTCATTTTCGACATTTTCTCAATTTTTAAATTGTTTGTTTACCACTTTACGAAATAACCGGTCAATAAATTTGACAGTTACTTCAGTGTTTCCATGTGTAAAATGAAAAATATTGTATAGACGAAGTAAACTTTTCTATTGGTAGTTTATTTCGTAAGGAATTCATGTTCTATGAACATCGATTTAATTAAACAAACGTTTAGGGTTTTTGTTAAATAAAAGAAAAATCAGTTTGGTAAAGATAAAAATCACTTTATTAAAAACTCACATATACGTACAACACTCGTACACAAACCACATGTTGGCAAAACTAAATTACAGAAAGAAAACATTTCTATGCATTCTAAAATTTTCGGAGAATAGAGAAATTCTTATCTTAATATGCGAGACGATTGTCTTATGAAATGTACAATTTATTGCTGATTTTTACATATTTATTGATAATATTGGACAAACACTCATCTAATTTCCTTAGACTATTTAGGTACCAAAATTTTTTAAAGATATTTTTAACCACAAAAATGCAAAGTAACCTTTTAAAAATCTGTCTTTATTTTCCTCGCAATTTAGATATTCCTTATACAAAAGTATATTGTGATATTCGTATTTATATGACGTAAATAATTTATCGAATTACAATTATGATTATGAAATTTATAAATTGTGATGTAACTGAAATTAATTTTTAAACTACAATTATATAAGCCAAGAGATTTTGTTACATTAAATAATATCATTAAAAGCACAGAGTATGTAGAAATGTATATAGAATGGAACAGAGAGCCCTTGGCAAAATTGAAGATTTTATACCTAAATTAACATAAATAATGGGAATATCATACTATGACACCAAAATACTTTGTAAATAACATTAATAACAATACTTATAATGGAAACTATAGTTTTTAAACGTTTATTTTGACTTAGTCTGTACAATCAGAGTCCGTCGGAGTGTTCCGCTTACAGAAACACTTCCTTGTTTTTCATACCAGAAAACCTGGCCTTTTACAAACCAATTAGACGACAGTGAGTTGCGCAAACGAGAAATGTCTGTTAGTGGTACATGAGTTTGTACAAACACATCTAAAAGCTGTATCCTCTTAGTTATTTTTAGCCCATAAGGTGGAACACCGACAGATTCCCTGATAGTACCTATACTTATGTATTTTTAATAACTGCATTCTAAACAAAATGAGATTGAGAATTAAAGAAAGGCGTAGACAATAGACAATTTTGTTCATAGTAAATATTTATAAATACTTTGGTTTAGAAGCATATTACAAATTAAAAAAAGTTATTATTTATTAAATATCAGTCAAAAAATAGGACTCGACAAGAACCATAAACTATTATGCTGAATGTTGCCATTTAATAAATTTGTATTACATTACAATGCGTTCGGAAACGTGAAAAATAAACCGGGATTTTGTCTATGGTCTGTTTCAGAACGAATTCGACAAGCGCAAGGCATCAATAGAGCCTTTTTCTGGATTGTTCCTGTCTTTTTTGGTACCACATAATTCCTAATACCAATACGACCATAATAATTATGGCTACAAACATCATGTATAAGAAAGATTTGACACCAGACATGGCGGGCTTTGTGTCGTCCACTCTATCTCTCGGAGCTTCGAAAGATGCGGCAGATGGAATTATTTTCGACCTATCTTCATCTTTGTTTTGCTGTAAAAATATTTTAAAAATAAAATAACTAGTATTATTAGTCTTATTTAGAGTAATTACTTTAAAAAAAAACAGGCAAAACACTATTAAAATAAAGCGTAAACACACACTGCTTTGCTGCCCAAAATATCAGCAATTACAGCATATTTTTAAATCATTCTTTTTTTAATAAAAAGCCCTACACTTATTTCATGCTTTAGTCTATATATTTTCACGCTATCAAACGTAATTGTTATATAAATTGGATAAAAATACTAGTGACTGAAAGAGACCATAAGTTGCTGCCGACATCAAGGAAGCAAGGTTGCAAAGTTTTGTAATATCATATCATTTTGACATTTGTAATTGATAATTAGACAAATGTAAACAATAAATTTATAATTTCATGCAGATGAAGTCACATGGGAACAGCTAGTCTTAATATAAATGCGAAATCAAAATGGATGGCTGTTTGTTAGAAGCTATCTACTGAACGGCTGAGATCTTGTCAAAATTTGGTATAGTAGTCAAACATAATCTTATTACAAAGTTTTTTTTAATTAAAAGCTAGTAAAATATGTTCTTACCGATTCCAAAAGATCTAATTCATACATCTTAACAGATATGATATCATGATTGTCGCTCAGATCTCCAGTAGTTGCAGACGCACCGAAATAGTATCCCGTAGGTAAGAGAATGTTTTCCACTTTAAAACATTCCTTCCATGCATTCTTTCCATCCAAGTCCGTGCTCACTGGAAAGTAAAACAATATTGAACTTTAGTTAAATACTCTATCTATGCTCTATACTATTATAATAAAGCGTAAACACTCACTTCTTTGTTGCCTAAGATGTCAGCAATTACAGCATATTTTTGAAAAATTCTAATTTTAATAAAAAGCCCTACACTTACGTCACGCTTTAGGCTACACATTTCACGCCATTAAACTTAGGGGGTAAATATTTTGGATAAAAAACCCTAATGTGTGAAAGAGACTATAAGTTATTGCCAACATCAAGAAAGCAAGGTTGCCAAAGTTTGTCATGTCATGTCATTTTGACATTTGCAATTGATAATTTGACACATGTAAAAAATAAAAAAGTTTTTATAATTCCACGCGGATTAAGCGGTACGGGAACAGCTAGTTGTTCAATAAAACTCAGAAATATTTTTTTTAAACTCACCTATTAAAGTATCATCTCTATATGTTATAGAGATATGTGTATCGTGGTTAAAGTTCCTGAACTTAGCTTCGCATCCAGCGAGCTGCGTGTGTGTGCCATCGCGGTCGTGGTCGTAATGGAGACTGCCATTGTTGATCATTGCTGATATGTATGGATGTTGATGCTGGAAGATGGATATTACATTAAAAAAAAATCTTACAGTCAAACTATACATTAGCTTTGTCAGACAATGTTTTTAACCTTTTTTTCCTAATTGTCATCTATATTATTAGACCGAGGAAAGATTTGTATTTTAGTGTGTATTGAAATAATTAAAAAACTACTGGGCTGATTTTAAAAATTCTCTCACCATTACAATGGTAATTTATTCGAATGTAACATAGGCTGGCTTTATTTTTTTTTTTAATTCTAATCATACCTTTATCAGTACCAACATTAAGAAAAAACCCTCTTAATAAATAAATTGAATAATTTTAAATTATCTACAGAACCCTCTTGCCATAAACCCTCATTGGTTTATAATAATCTAAAATGTAGCGTACATTACATACGTTTGATTAAGCTTTAACATTTATATTTAGTAACCACTACAAGTAGAACAGGACCACAGTTAGTTCAAGAAGGCAACAATAAAATTTTTATAACTAACGAGCCGTTTCCCGCGACTTCGTCCGCGTGGTATTAGAAAACATATGAACTATATAAATAACAAAAAGCTACATATCCCTCGGGAACCGGACACCTCGGGGATGAAGCTTATCCCATGTATACTCCAGACTTTGTTTTACATCTGTGCCAAATTTCAATAAGATATGTTGAACCGCTGCAGAAAGATCGAGTAAACATTAAAAAACTAAATTAATGAATCCCACGGGAACCGTAACTTATCCGGGGATAAAATGTAGCCTATGTGTTCTTCCAGAATATGCTCTAAACCTGTGCCAAATTTCATGGAGATCCGTTCAGCCGTTTAGGCTACAAACGCTAACAAACATCCATTCATCCATCTAAACTTTCGCATTTATAATATTTGTAAGATTTACATAAATAAATTACCATTTCTGTTGGGTAAAAATTATAAAGATACTTACATTATGTGCTCCATTGTGGTTACTATATGTGTCCAGTACGATCGCAAGTCCTTGGAAATAATCCTTACTGCCAAACACAGGGCCGGTCTGCATACGATCCCTGACATACCAGAGGGCAAAACCATCCCCGTAGAGATCCTTGCCTCGTCCATGCACTTTGAACTGTACTTGCAGTTCCCAGTTTCGTGTTTGACATGGCTGGAACAAAAGTAGACATATAATACTAGGTTGAAGTAATGTCGATAATGAAAATTGTAATGGATGTAATGTCGGTCACTTAAACACTATCTTTGTTTACCCGTCTACGGACGAGGCCGAGATGGTGTTTAAGTTGGCCGACATCTGTTTAAGAAAACAGTCAGTTAACTAAGTTTTGTTTGTTCAAGGCTTATGGGGCGTTATCGTCGCTTCGCGACAAAGCCCCCAGTAAAAATAGATAAAAAAGAAAAAAAAAACTACACTTTCGTACTTATAATATTAGTAACAAGTAAGATCATCTAGTGATTTATTAATGTTAGGTTGAATTAATTTCAATGGAGTGAAACTGGAGTTCACTTTAAAAAAGATAAGAAATGTCCATATTCAATTGTTTTGGCTGTAAAAAATAACGTAGATTGAAGAATGTTATATTCAGTGCAAAGTTATTTTTTTTAACAGAAAATTAGTAATTAAAAATATTTAAAATATAAGGATTTTGTAATTTTTAGAGGAAATTAATTGGTTATGAAATACTGAGTTACTAAAATTAGCACATTATGTTTCCTCATAGTGAATGTAGCTAAAATAAATGTAAATATGCTGTTTTGCGAAACATTAAATAAAGTCTTTGTTGTTAATTGACGCAAAATACTTTGTATGTAAATGGCTGATAAACATACTTGCACAATATACCTATAGTTAGATAAAAGGTAAGCAATATTTACGTCATTTAAAAGTTATGCATAGAACAACGAACTTTGACAGTAGACAGTAACAAGTATGCCAGCTACTACCCCAATTTACTGACATGTATGCCTTATGTTTTTGTTCTTAAATCTGCAATCAGTTTAGAACAAACTATAAGCAGATTTGTTGTATGAATGTGTATGCATGATGATGTGTCTGCCTTAAGCAGAACTTTAACACTGTTTAACAAACATGACACTTGTATTGACATGTATATCTCTCATTTACTCTTAAAAAAAAACAATATGTTGTCAAAATAAAAAAAAAATGTAAATACATACAAATTGAAAGACATTGTACAATTCACAACATTACACGTCACTATCACACTTTTGTTTTATTCTGTAATTTTATGTGGGCGAAGTCGGGGGCAACAGCTAGTATTAAATTATAAATGACATTTACTAGACATTTACAAATGGATTTCATATTTTTTATTCATCTATATTTGGTAGTTTGGCTATTGGGCAGTAATGACAGGCAAGGTCATTTGCATTGGCCAAGGTTATACCACTTTCCTGCATCAATTTAAGAATCATACTTGATTTAATAATATTATTATTTTTCTATGTTATGGAGATACTTTCTTTGTATTAGTCTTGGCCTTATCTTTATATTAAGTGCGCACCGTACTAGTACAATTGGGAAAACGTACTAGTACACACTTTTAGTACCTTTAGTACTTCAGATTTGTGAAAACACAATACATGAATAGAATATAACGAGGGTTATATATTACTTCACATCAAATTTGGGTCAAACATATGTTATTAGCGAAAATAAATTTAGTTATGAATAATTTTATCCACTTTTGATTCTCATTATCGAAGGTGGATGCTTCAATATGACAAAAAGGCGAACACCGATATCATGTAGTGTACTAAAAGTACTAAATGTCCGAATAACAGAAGTCGTTTGGTAACATTACTTTTAGTACAGTGCCGAGTAACATAACTTTTTAGTACATTGTATGTGTACTACCCAAGACTACTTTGTATAATTATACAAAGCACCCAAGAAATATTAAGAGTAACTTTAAAACCTGCTACTCGGTTATTTTTAAACGTAGTTTAGTTGCAATATTAACTACGAAGTTACTTCTTGTCTGTTATTGAGAATACTTTGTGGCAGTTTATTTATAGTCTGTCCTTCATAAATACATAAATCACTAGATTCTTTACTTTGTTTTGTAAATAACAATTAAATAAACAAATAAGTATAGTACATCATAAGAGTATAAAAATTGCAATAAAAATATAACTTTACAAATATGAAAAAATACTATAATATAATTTTACTTATATTATAAATTGAAAGTTTGGATGGATGGATGAATGCATGGATGTTTGTTAAAGTTTGTAGCCTAAACGGCTGAACGGATCTGGATGAAATTTGGCATAGATGTAGAGGATAGTCTGGAAGAACACATAGGCTATCTTTTGTTTTTATTATTATAATATCACGCGAACAGAGTCGCGGGCGGAAGCTAGTAAAGTTATATTTCAATGCGATTTTATTACATGTAAATTTATATACTATGTCCCTTCAAATTCATTTTAATAACTGTAAATATGTAAATTATAAAATATAAATAAAAGTAATTTAAATCATGACAAGAAAAAGCATAAATTATACAAAAAATGGCCAGTATTATATTATTAACATAGATTACCTCTACCTCTCTTAATAATTCTTAGATAATATTAATTTCTGTTTCAAGTTCAAAAGCTTCATTTAATTAAGATAATTAAATTAGTTTATATATGAAAACAAAGACTTCTATCTTTGTTTAAAGAATTTCAAACGATTGTTTATTAATGATTTATGGCTATAACTGATAATGATAACGGTAAAATAACTCACCGATGTGTTCCAAATAGCGCCCGATTTTGATTGCATGTCGGGAGTTAACCGGACGTAATTCGAAGTAACTATAGTGCTACCTAAGAAGTCCCAATGTGGTACCGACATACCGCTCCCTGTAATTGAGCAATATATTGTATTCTCCTTATACAAAATTACTCTTTATTCTTCATACAAAAAGACTTAAGGATCAGTCTAGATTCTTAGGTCACTCACCTTGGTAAGGTTTTGTAAGAGAATGCTGCCTCATTATATAATCTCTTGTGTTCCATTCTGCGAACACAGGAGTATAGAATACGGATATTAAAAAGAACTTTATGAATAAGAATTTTTCGTAATACATTTTGGAAGTAATATTATAACTTTAGAACTAGTGACAAGACAAACGCCAGATCATGGCATGCCGAAAAATGATTGTTGTAAATGTTGCCACTTGCCTCATACTCTTTGACAGCTTGAAAGTGCTTACAGTAATTAAAATTTAATTTATTAATGCCGTGATTTTATTTTCGATTATAATGTTCCATTGTAATTGGCATTGTTTTTTCCACTGATTGCTCAAGAATTACATAACATAAATAGACTTTACTAAAAGCCTTATACATTTCAATAATCTAACATTTGTCAAATTCAGTGAAAAAAATTCATTGCTAATATATTTGGGCAGGCGTTTTAATTTTATATTCGCTGAGCATTAACGAAAAGATATTATTATATCGATTAATTAAACCTATATTAGAAGATCTATAACTACTGCGGGAAAAGTCAGAAGAATAACCCATAATAAGTGACATTCATCATCAAGAATTATTTGTACTGTATCGTGTAGTTTACTCTTTTCAAATTGCTCCAGTTAAAAACACCGTTGTGACATTAATTGTAACAGGTTTTATTTACTGTTCTGTGCCAAATTCACACATCATATACATTACATTTCCATTACTTCCTGAATTGCATGCAGTTAATTTTTTTGCATCAAAATTAACCGCATTGACAGTACAGATGTTATCAAAAATCAACATAAACCATCGATAACATCGAAAACGATATATCGATTAATTTTGCATTTCGAAAACATCGATTAGCGTATAAAAGTCGTAATTTTTCCGCCACGTGGTTAAAGATAAGGGTGCGGCTTGCTTTCTCTCGTTCGGTGATGGATGGATATACTTTCACTTCACTTTGCTATAATATAGACCGCCGGTAAGGTCAAAGCCGCACTTATGACGGTCAATGACATTTTAACTTGGCAACTTTTACCCGGCGCGGTCGTTATGTCTGGTGTTGCCATGCCTTACCCGAATTTCAAAGCGTGCAATTTGCTCTTATTTATTACTGTAAAGGTTAAATCTTAATTTCCATGATTATTTATACTGTATTTGTCCAATAAAGCCGTTCCATTTGTAAAATAACTGGTCTATCTTGGATAGGTCGCCATGTTGGATTAAGAATGACGTCACAAAATTAATTATGCATTGTTATCCAAATTGAAACTGTAACACCGCACAATCGGTTGAAAACATCTGCTTCAAAATTGAATTGCAAGATTTTGCTGATCAGCAACATATGTTGCATATGCCCTATGCAATACCATGAACACAAAGAAAACAGACGTGAAGTGGATAGAATTCCGCGTTTTATTTGATGAGTGTGCGTACTGGAGGACTCATTTTGGCACTCTTTTCCTCTCGACCCTTTCTTATAAGGAAAAGATGGGATTGATTAGTGGATTGGACAGAGATGAAGGCGCATAGGACGGATAAATCCTTTTTCAGAGCGTCAAAACTTATCTGCTTTTGCGGTTGTCTATGGGCAGCGGTCGGTATTTCGGCAAATTGACCTGACCGGTTCCTTGTCTTTTTTTTATAATATAAGGTGGAAAACGAGCAAGCGGCCACCTGAATCCGTCAAAATGGCGAAGCGACCGCTGCCCATAGACATCCGCAATTGCAGATGCGTTGCCTACCCTTATACGACGGAGAAGACGCACATAAAGAGGATATTTCCCCTTCCCACCCTCGCATAAGAAAAGGGTGCTAAAGAGAAAGGGACTTAAAAGGCCTCCGGCACCACACTCATCAGGCGAAACACGGTATTGCTTTCATTTCACGCCTGTCTTCTGTGTGGTCGTGGTATTACACCGGGCGTGCCCTGCAGTGCGAAGATGTTAAAGCGGGCACTAAACAATTCGATTTTATTGCTGTCCCCTCTATTAACCTAGTCTAGTTTATGGATGGTTTTAACAAATAAGCTCAAAAACTACTAAACTATTATAAAATATTTAAAAAAAACTATGCGAAGTTAAAACGCTCCGAAAGTACTTAATGAAATTTTTTCTTCTTTCAGGATTGGCCAAAAAGATTGAAAAAGCGATCGAAGAAATTGCCAAAGGAAAGAATTAAATTGTAATCAACACGACTGATTGATTTTTGAATAAAATAATAAGAAATATAACAATTTTTATTTATATTAACTACTAGAATTTAAAATAGATAAGAGAAAATAATCGTACGATGGCTCCTACGTACATTATCGTAAGCAAGGATTTGGCACACACAATAACATATTTCTAAATTAGTTTTGTATTACTAACTAGCTGTTGCCCGCGACTTCGACCGCGCAATACTAAGATAAAAATTAGCCAATAATATGGCCGTCTATGTCAGTTACCTTCCCGTGAAAGTCCGGTCAAAATCGGCCCAGTTGTTTCGGAGATTACCCGGGGTAAACGCGGCTTGCGGACAGACAGACAAAAAAATATTTATGTGAATAAAATTCCTTTGAATATTTGCGGGGAAAATTTACTATTTACCCCGGGTAAGAGCGGATTAATTCAAAATAACTTCGACTAAAAATCTCAGTGTTCTTCACAAGCATGATGGTTCTATGAACCCTTGCGCAGACTATGATGCCGACCCAGCCTTTTCATCACTGCCTAACTATAAATTTAAAAAAGCAAAAGATGATATACACTAATATAAAAAAACGTATAAGTATATGTCGTGAAATCAAAAAATATAGCCTACTAGCTTTCGCCTGCGACTCCGTCCGCGTGATATTCATAAAAACAAAAGAAAGTAGCCTATGTGTTCTTCCAGGCTACCCTCTACATCTATGCCAAATTTCATCCAGATCCGTTCAGCCGTTTAGGCTACAAACTTTAACAAACAAACACTTTCCATCCGTCCATCCATCCAAACTTTCACATTTATAATATTAGTATGATGTCGCTCACAAATCGTCCCAGTAGTTTTTACGTAGATCGAATACGTGCAAAAATACAAATCTTTCGCTTTACAATATTAATATAGAAGAGGACACTAAGCTGGATCCAGCTTTGGCGCCAGGGGGCTCACATAGTGGTGGTCAAGTCAAGAGCTTGAAAAAATATGTAAATATATTTTGTCAAGCTCTTGACTAACTAGCTCAGGGGGGTAAAGACCCCCCTAACCTCCCCCCCTGGATCCGCCCTTGGAGGACACAGACGAAATCATTTTCTAAAATCTTTATTTTATTACTGAGTTTCGTCCGCGTGGAATTAAACAAAACAACAGTGACTAGACTATGTTCTTCCAGACTATCCTCTACATCTATACCAAATTTCATCGAAATCCGTTCAGTAGTTTAGGCGACATATACTAACAAACATCCATCCATCTAAACTTTCGCATTTATAGTATTAGTATGAAGTATGAAGTAAGATAGGATAGATGGACATAATTAAGCTTTCTAATGGTGAAAGAAAATTTTGAATTACATCGTTACATACAAAAATACAATTATTGCCTTTTTAATACATTTTTTTTTGTAATAAAAGGTGGCAAACGGCAAGCGGCCTGAATCCACCGAAATAGAAAGCGACCGCTGCACATAAACATCCGCAATTGCAGCGCTGCCTACCCTTCATTGACGAAGGAGACGCACATAAAGAGGACATTTACCCTTCCTATGCGTCTCCACCTTCAAATCCATTCGTCCTTCCCATCCTTTCCTTTTAAGAAAAGGGTGGAAAGGGAAAGGGAAAGGGACTAAGGTTAGGCCGGCTCCACACTCATCAGACTGTACGCGGAATTGCTTCCTCTTCACGCCTGTCTGTGTGAAACGTGCTCTACCACTGTTGAATATTGGGGCTCTGAATGTAGTCGAGTCTAATGTCGATAATAAAAATCGAATAAGTTTTTCGTGAGTGTGATAATTTTATTTACAAAGAAAATAGCAAATTTCTTCCGAATTGTTTGTTTTATAATTCAAAGGAATATTAAAAATTCATTAACATGATTTTATAGTCAGTTTTATGTCAAATATAACATGATTTTTTTTATGTAAATGATTATTAGTCAGTTAAAGTCTACATACGTCGGTGTACATATAAAATGTTGAATTTTAAATTAGCAACAATTTTACTTATTGTAAGTAATTTTTTCTACTTTGAATGAAAAGATACAAAAACTACTCATGTGTAAAGGGGCCAGCTGAAAACCAGCGCAGTAACGGCTTGCGCCGTCCCTGCATTAGCTGAGCTTGCCACCTTTTGCCACATTTCTCTCTCTTTTTTTATATTAGCTCTAAGGTTTTTTGTATTAAATGTTTATGTAGTTTTTTTTGTGGCAATAAAAATTCTATTTATTTATTTATTTATTTATTTATTTAAAACCATTCGTCGTTTAAACGATAGGTTTTATCTATACTAATATTATAAAGAGGAAAGATATTTATTTTTGTATTTTTGTATGTATTGAAATTACTCAGAAACTAGTGGGCCGATTTTAAAAATTCTTTCACCGTTAGAAAAGTAATTTATCTATGACTAACTTTAAACTAATATTATAAATGCGAAAGTTTAGATGGATGTTTGTTAGAGTTTGTAGCCTAAACTTGTCGGATTTCGATGAAATTTGGTGTTGTAGATGATAGTCTGGAAGAACACATAGGCTATTATTGTTTTTTTAATTCCACGCGGACGTAGTCGCAGACGAAAGCTAGTAGGTTATATATTTTTCAACTCCTCGCGGGTGAAAACGAATGACAAAAACTTGAGATGTAATATTGATTTTGGTCGTAAGATCTTTATCTAGTATTTTTCGTAATGGTACTAAGTGTTTATTTTTTATTTGATTTCAGTTAACTTTAACTATTTACAATGTGTTTGGAGCTCCGAGTCAAAGACCGACAGATCAAGATGAAAGTAAGAACTGTATTTTTTGCAACAACTCATCATCATCTCCCCTGCCTTATACTACTCCCGTAGGGTCGGCGCACCGGGTTTTCGTCCTCCAAAGCACTCTATCATCCGTCATCTCAGTCATCACTCCCTTCTTGATCATGTCACCTTTCACACAATCCATCTATCTCTTTCTACGTCTACCTCTACCGATGTACTTCCACATTCATAACTAACGTCCTTGTTACATGCG